TCTAGTAAGTTGAGAGGAGTTTCGTATTTATAAAAATCTAAATCTTATACTTTCATATGAGATTCCAGAGTTGTTTAACAAAATTACAACAAATTTTTAAATTCACCTACAATCATCCAAAAACTAATTAAGGAGGGGTTATTGGGAGATGAATTTGTGTAGAGTTTATGGATTTTAAAAATTTATAAATTTATAAAGTTATGTGGATTATGAAAAAAAATATATATGTTGACTTGTAAAATTTGATCATATTTTTCTATATTGCAACAGTTTTTCATGAACTTGTATTTTCTTTTTCTATCTTTCTTTTCATAAAATAAATATATGATTTATATTAAAAAAAAAAAATCTCTAGTACATCCTTTTTTAAGTTTATCACCCAAAAAAATTTCAAAGTAGAAAATGACCAAAAGTGATTTTTCAAAAGGGTAAATATATTCTTATATCCTTACGGTTAAATAATCCTTTTTTTTGTTTAGAGTTAAGGGGTAGGATTTTAGGGGTGAGGTTTAAATATTCAAAAATAGAAAATAAATATTAAATATTTTTTAAAAAATAGTTTCAAGAAGAATTTTCAAATTTCAAAAATAAAATTTAATAAACAATTTTGAAAAAAAAATAAAAAAAAGTTTGAATCTGAAAACATAACATAAAAATATAAATTTTTTTATTTTTTATCTTTTTATTTTTATAATTATATATTTATTATTTGTATTTATTAAGCAAAGAGTATAAAAATCTTTGGTCTTTAATGAAACCTCTTTTGGTCACTTTTATATATTATTTTAGTTTTTATTTTTTAAACAAAATAAAAATATAATTATACATTAAAAGGTAAGTAAATAAAATTGTAATGAATTATAATGTGAGACATATAATTTTGATTAACGATGGAATATTATTTGGTAAAAAGAATTATTTTGTTTTCTAGATGTTTTAATCACATGGATTTTGAAAATCTCATGGATGCATAATATTTTGAAAATTGTGTCTTATGTGTTAAAAAGGTAGATAATCATCTCCCAATAACATTATATTTAGTTAAAATTAGAGAATCAATAATGACTAGACTTTTTGAATAACAAGATACTTAAATATATTTTGAAAATTATTAAACTAATAATAGTGGATTTACTAAGAGTTTTAAAATCTATGAACCAATAACAAAGGATTTTCAAATTATCAAAGTTAATGAGAATTTATTTCTCAATAACCCCCTCACGAAATCATTTCAAAATTCAGATTGAATACATCCCCTAAATATACGAAACATAGCCACATAAACCAAATTTACATTGATTAATTGTAACGTCCCGACTGTATATGGTAATGGCCCACCTACATCCGTTCACTCGGTCCATTGGCTCCATCTTGTTCCAATGTTCGGTCAGTTAATTTTTCAAGGCTCTAGAACTATGTTTACTGATCCTGAAATTAGCACATGATATTTTCCCGTGCTTTGACCTCATTTACAAGATATTAAAAATCACTTTCCGATAGATCACCCGTCTTTGACCTCACTGTTCCGCACTTTAGTCACCGTTCGAAGCCTTAATTTCAGCACAGACCCAATACAATGGTCGACATAGTTTGTGAAGATCTCAATCAAACTCATGATAGAATGCTTCTCTGATAAATAAATGATATTGTTGATTTTTTCACTTTTCAGATAAACAATAGAATATATTCGGGACACTTGGCGTTGTGGATGTAATTCTATCAAGTAAAGCAATTTCTCCAAGCAAAAGAACAACAAAAAGTAACACGCGTTAAAATCAATTAAAAAGCAGAAGAAAATTTACATACCTTTTCTTTAAAAAAAACAAATCCCCCTATATATTAAAAGAGAAATCACTTTAATGAATTTTGCTTACGTGTCATTCATAGTTGCAATTTAGAATTAATTCTTTTAATTTGATTGGTTATTGACATTTGAATTTTTATTTATTTAATTAAAGTTTTTTAAAAGGAAACTAATCCTATAATTACCTAATCTAATATATATTACCAAACAAACAATTAACCATCTTAAATACATAGGATTAATAGAATTTGTTTATATAAACAATTAAATATCACATATTCCATTATAAAAACTTAAAATATACATATAAATACATATTATATTATAGAAATAAGTATATAAACGATTTTAAGTTTTTTTCTATTAATAGTGGATAAAAAATCATACATTACAGAAAACTAATAATATTTTTATACTCACTCACTATATATATGTATTCCTAAAATATGTTCAATGAATGCAAAACAGACAAATTTTAAATTTTATAAGAAAATCTATCATTTTCCAGAGATAAATGTCGATAGTACAGTTGAGATATTACTTTCAAAATTATTTAAATATTTTTATATAAATTATATGGTATGTCATTTTTTTTAAAAAATGAATAAATGAAAAAGTTTATTATAATATAAAATTACAAAAAAAAATCAAAACATTATATTAATAGAATTAATTCTTTTAATTTGATTGGTTATTGGCATTTGAATTTTTATTTATTTAATTAAAGTTTTTAAAAAGGAAACTAATCCTAGAATTACCTAATCTAATATATATTACCAAACAAACAATTAACCATCTTAAATACATAGGATTAATAGAATTTGTTTATAGAAACAATTAAATATCACATATTCCATTATAAAAACTTAGAATATACATATAAATACATATTATATTATAGAAATAAGTATATAAACGATTTTAAGTTTTTTTCTATTAATAGTGGATAAAAAATCATACATTACAGAAAATTAATAATATTTTTATACTCACTCACTATATATATGTATTCCTAATATATGTTCAATGAATGCAAAACAGACAAATTTTAAATTTTATAAGAAAATCTATCATTTTCCAGAGATAAATGTCGATAGTACAGTTGAGATATTACTTTCAAAATTATTTAAGTATTTTTATATAAATTATATGGTATGTCATTTTAAAAAATATGAATAAATGAAAAATTTTATTATAATATAAAATTACTGAAAAAATCAAAACATTATATTAATACAAGATTAGAGTTAATATTTTATTCATATAATTCATATAGCTTTAAGTATAATAAAATTGGCATGTTTATTTTTAATAAGAAATAAAAGAAAAGAGACATAAATAAAAACATGAGTGAATAATAATAAAACCTTTTGTTGTATTCTTCGTTATTTTGTATTTGTACATACATAATTTTTTATTTGTATGCCAAAATATTTTTTACGTATCAATAAAATTGTAAACTAATTATTTTTAGGTGTTTATACAACATAAAGAAATTTTTAACAAGGAAGATAAATATAAATGATAAGTTATAAAATTTTTAATGTTGAAGATTCAAAATACAACACAAATTAAATTTAAAATAAATTATTATAAAATAATGATAAGTATTTTTGCGGTGTAATAAACCTTTAAAATATATGATAACAAAGTTATAACAAAATGTATGCAACTAGAAACATGTTATTTTGATATATTAAAACTGTTGAATCTCATGTTTATATTAATCTATGTCTAAAATAATGACATCACATCATTTAAGAATTAAGATATTTTATGTTATATAATTATTTAATCAAATTTACTTTTTTGAAATGCAGTTATTTAGATTTATTTAAAATATGTATGTAATGAAGTAATTAAAACAAAAAAAAAATTAATAGTAAGATATTTATTTTTCCAATGAAAATCTTGGTCAAAGGAATCAATGTTTGATAAGATAGTGTGAAGATTGGAGAGAATTTGATAATGGATTTATTTGGTTAGTCAATTGTGATTTTATATTAAATTCTAAATAAAAAAATATGTAAGAAAGGAAGAAAAAGAGGGAGATATGATGATGATATGGATTAGAGAGTCGGTTATGATCATAATGAAAGACGAAAGTGAATATAAGTGAGAGAGTAAATATAAGTGAGATAGATTCTGAAATCATTTATTAATACTATGTGAAAGTGTTTAGCAGATTTAACAAAATCTGGTGAAAATTTTGCAACCAAAGAGAGATAGAAAGAAGTTTAAAGTGAAATATTGAGAATCATATTAAGAACGAGGGTAAGAGAATGAATATATGTGATTGTGAGAGAGTGAATGTAAATTTGAGAGATTTTGATATTATTTGATCAACTAATGGAGAGAGAAAAAGAAAAAGAGAGCGAGAGAGGTGTATAAAGACATACAAAAATAATTCAAAGAGAGATACATAAGAAACAAAACGAATATGTGAAAAAATACAAGAAAACACGAAATGAGTAAGAAAAATATGTTAAAAAACAGAGTATTTATGTAAAAGAGAAAGAAAGTTACAATATATTTATATATTTATATTATTTTTTATTCATACACAATCTATACTATTAAAGCAGAATCCCTCATAGGATTCTGCCCATAGTTTTATGAGTTATTTACAAAGATATGCCATTAGCATTTAATTTAATATAATTATTATTTATTTAAACTAAAAAACTAAATATTTCCTATTTAAGGTAACTAATAATTCCCTGATTTTGTGCTTAATAATAATTTTATGTTTATGTTATTTCTATTTTATTTTAATTTTAATATCCTATTTTCGTGCATAATATCATTTAGCAATAAAAAGTTAAAACTATTATTTATTATGTCATAATTGATATGCCCATTCAATTTTTTTTTTAAATTACTTTTAGATATAAAATAAGTGAAAATATAAAATTATCATAGGTTATTAATAACAAAAAAAATATTGTTATATGAATATTTTTTTTTCTATTACCATTGTTTCATATTTTCAAATGAAAAAAAATCATTAAAGTCTAAGAAATTACAAAAAATCAATTTTATTTAATATTAAAACTATGTGTTATTTATCTAATTTTAAAAAAAATGTTATAAGTTTTTTTGGGATCTACGGATATTATATTGCGGATTAATAGAGGATTTTTGGATATTTACCAGTTTTATCAAATTAAATTAATAAAATTTCATATAATATTAACCGGATTATACAAAAGATTGTCGGATATATCAGTTTAACTATGAGTCTCGATCAGATATAAAAACATACAATATGTAAAAATAAAACAATATAATAGAACATTTTAATATTAGTAGAACAACTTTTATTTTTTGTGTTAAAATAAAATTTATCAATTCAAATAAATTTTATCAAAAAGGTAAAATAAACCCGCGCTTTTAAAGCGCGGATCAAAATCTAGTGTATAGATTATATTAATGTCCGCATAGACGTACGGGCCGTCCACCTAGTAATACATTATCCCACAACCACAAACTGGAATGTCGTATTCCTCACGATTACATTCGTAATAGATGAGAAGCATTCACATTCAATTGCTCTCTGTTTTTCACTAACTACAAACGAATATTATGCAAACTAAAAAAAAAAAAAATAGAAGTCAAAACCAAACCAATAGCCAATTATATGTCAAGTCAAACCAAACCAAACTAAACCAACAAATCCAAATGCAGATCTTCAGAAACATGGCAGATGGTTGAGGTGGTGGTGGTGATGGTAGTTGTGTCCGTTACCGTGACTATGAGGGCGGTGAGTCTCCTCGTCGATAATCTCCTGAACATGCTTAAAGTCATCGACACGGCAAGGAATCGTAATAGGGCCTGCGTGTTTGAATCCGTACTCTTCTTCTGCTTCTTTCAATAGACTCAAAAACAGAGGATGGCTCAAGAACATCAACGGAACCACGAATCTGTGTAGACCTTCTTCATCTCCTTCGTGTCCAACCATGATCGCAACACAGCCTTTCGGAACATGATGATGATGGAGTATGTGTAGATGGGGAACATGAAAGTGAAACTTGAACACCATCTGCTTGCTCTGACTCTGTTTTGGACTCTGTTTCTGTTCTTGGTCTTCAAAACCCATTACAAAGATCAAATCTTTCTTACAGGAAACCCTAACGAGAAACAAGAATATTGATTGAAACGTTCAACGACGGAGAAAAACAGTACTTAGAAGTTTTCCGGCGAGGTTGATGTTAGAAGACGGAGATAGAAAAGGGCCAAGGATCGACGGCAGAAGAGATAGTGAGAAGAAAAATAGAAAGAGATGAGTCGGTGAGAGATGTGGGGATGTTGCTCATGATATGCTAAGCATATATGTATATATGATGTTTTTCTGTTTCCTGAATGATTTTGGAAACGGAGATATGAGGGTGTATATATACATATTATCACTGGTTCAGGGCTTTGCTTCACGCGCACACCGCTAAAGCTTTTTCTCCTAATTAACTTTTTATTTAATTGATTAATGAGCTGGAATTGACGCGGTAAAAATTGCCGCCTTGGTTACCGGCTACAGAGTGAGGCTTGTTAATTATTTCAATGTTTTTAATTTCTATACTAATAAGATTAAAAACAGCCCAGTAGTTTTGAACAGTCAAATTCATTTTCATTTTTAATATAACAGTAACACTTATATATATCCTGGGGACAAGGATATTTATACTGTAGATGTAGTTTAGATATATATATATATATATATATATATATATATAATATAGTATCATACAAAATTATATAACGATTTTTACAGCATTACCTTCTAAGTTCTAATCTAAAAACGTAATAATTGAAATTCGTTGTTGGTTTACTCTGATAGCCCAACTGTCGCTTCAAAAGCGAACGAATTAGTTAAATTAATGAATAAAAGTGTATTTGTGGGGGAAAAAGGTGTATTTGTGGGATTTTCCATGAAATTAAAGAAATGTGTATTTCACTAGTCCGTTGTTAATGTATAGGCGTATTGCCACCGCAAGTACAGGTAAATGGATAAACGCGATAAACACATCAGACCTAAACCTATTCCGCTAATCGCAAACGTTTAAAATAACTACCCTGTATTTATGTTTGTTTCTGTCTTTCCAGCAGCTGCATGGGAATTGTATTTTTATGTATTTTTTTATTAGTACGTAATTTTTTTGTAAGGTTTTGGAATAATATATTTGATTTCTTTTTGAAATAGATATTATATTTGACTTTGGGATACAAACTTATAAAAGAAACCACAAAACCCGTATATAAAATTCAAATATGCCTAACGTACGTGCTAGATTATATGATCCGTTATTCTTTTCCGAATATGCTTATTCCATATTAATCAGAAAATCATTTAATGGTTAATATACATGCGAACATTTATATATCAAGACCACTTTCAAATTTATCTTTAAAGGTTGACCATTTTCATAAATACTATTAATTTGTGACGAAAAACTTAAAGTAATAGTAACATTTATGTTTTTGAAACACTTTCATAAATACCGTAAATCATTTATAAATGTCTAATCATCATTTATAAAATTTATAAACTCATCTCCGTCCATTAAATACTAAAATCTAAACAATTATCACTAAATACTAAATTCAAATGTTATAGCATTTTTGATGGAATATTTTTTTGAAAAAAGATATCAAGTTATGGTATATTAATCAATTATCAACAGCTAACAACATTCAGCTTGTATAATTTTAGCAGAAAAGCATTCAGCTACAATAAGAAATATATAGTTAACAATATAATATATTATAACAACAAGAAAAGAGACTATATTACAGACCATCATTTACATTAAAATTATTACATTATTAAAGATTTCTAAGCAAAATATCTGGGTCTGGTCACACACACACTATTCGTTGGATAAGTGTATTTTTTTTCACTTGTGAGGGTTTTGTACAAAAATGTTTAAACCGATAATATACATATTGTTTGAACCGAGTTTGGTGATAACAAGTAAATGATCGACAAATACTCGTCGGTGGGTTATTTCAAAGGTGTAATGAGTAAATAGGAGTAAGAAGAGTTTTATTGATTAGTTGGAAAGGAGATTACAAGGAAAACTACGGTGCTCAGGAGCTAACCGGAGTTGTACGGACCGATCTAAGAGCAACAAGATTAGTAAAAATCCTAGTTTAGCTGCCGTCTAATAAGTCTATTTTCGGATCCCCTCTAAGTTTAGTCTCCCTTCGCTTTAATGGGTTGTTGTACGGAAAACCCTAATGGGCCATGTCCTTTGTCCCATGGGCCTCTAGAGGAGCCAAATCTTCTTACTCGATACGGATTGATGACGTGTGCTCGGCTGTTTGTCGTCTTGCAGACGTGAACCTTCCTCGTCTATTCGGGCCGAGTGATGGACCATAGTTTTTATTTGATGGGCCTTGAGGGGAGGATGAAATCCATCTCCTACACATATAATAAAACATTCTGAGAAATAGTGGCTTACTTTTAAACAACCAACCAAAATAACGTGTGTCCTTGAGGTTTGAGAATGTGACGCATTATTCACACTGGAACATGCTCCTGAGAGGAACTTGTTAATTTGTTCATATCTCTATCTCCTCGAATCTTTTTTCACATCTGGTTCACCTCCGGTTCGGGCGGCGCATGAGCATTTGTGCTGGCGCCGGAGAGTTTCCTTTTACCTTTAAATCATTTGTTTTTTATTTTGCTTCTCCGACGTACTCTCCAGTCTCTCCGTCTTGTTCGTTGCTCTGTCCTTGGAAGCTCACCGGTGACGTTTTTGCTGCAGAAAAGCTCCGGTTTCAGCGTAATTGTGCTGGGTGGTGGAGTCCTGACACAGGGCTTGTTAGATTGCGTCCGGTGGAATCTCCTTTTAGGGCTTTTCAGAGAGTCCCTTAAGCTCTTGGAGGAACAGCTGCATGTAGAGGAGGACGATTGGCTTGCCGGTCCATTCTGAGCTGTAGCCTTTGGTCTTGGTTCGACGGGTGGTAAGTGGTGCAGAGTTCATGGTAGTCTGCTTCTCCTTGGTGTCTCCTTTAGGCATGACTTGTCTTCTCTGTACCTAGGGCGCCCTGGAGATTCCTTTAAACTCAGGATCGTGCTTAGTCTCGACTCCAACGTGTGTTGGTGGCGTGGTGTTTGGTATGGGAAGTGTTGCGGTGGTGCAAGGCGGAGACGTCGTCCATGGCTTGTTCGTCGCAGTTCTGTGATACCCCGCTTGTTCTCTCTCCCTCTTCTTGGCTTCTCTCTCTCAGCCAAGCAGAGGAGCTCTGTCGATGAGTTTCTCTTCCGTTCATTCTCCGGCTTTTTTGTGGTGATTTGAGTTGTGCCTCCGGCTCTTTTTGTGACAGCTCAAGCTAACCTTTTCTGGTTCTCAAATTAGGCGATTGTCAAGGCGGTAGGAGGATCTTGTGGTCAGAGGATTCCTCTCCTCCTCGGTGGCACAATCGGTTCTTCGATACATCCCAGATTCGTGGGGGATTGGTCCTCGCAGTGGTGTTGTTTAACTAACGTTTTGGTAGCTTAAGGAGTATTGCTGGTTCGTTTGGTTGTTGTTGTTCAGTGTCCGACTTTATGCATCGTTTGTGGTCTTGAGGTCTATTTAGTCTTGGTGTCCACGAGCTTCCCCTAGCGTGTATAAGATTGTACATGCGGTTTTGAACCGGTTTTAAGCTTTGTTTGGTCTCTTAACCCTCTTCTACATTGCTTGTTTCTTGTGCGTTATGGGCGGTGATGGTTACTAGTTTCGAGAAGTCCTTTGAGAGCCAGCTACTCCGTCACGGGAATTCCAGACATACTAGGCAACGAGGAGAACCTCACATTCTCGTGGTTAATGTCAATGGTTGAGAACGGTTCTTGATTCTTAGAAATTTTAAAGTCAACTTAGCAAAAATGTGCTGAGTAAAGTGAACGGATAAAACTAACTTATGATACATTGATTTAGGAGGTTTTGTTATGCTCGAACTTGTAATCCAAATTGTTCACTCAGTTTTACAGGATGATTTTAATATAATATATTAAAAAAAAACATGATCCTGAAATATTCAAATTCTATCTCAGTGAAATTTTTTGCAGCTTAGTGGTTAAGGATGCTGCCACGTCATCATACATGGCCCAGGAGCTATCGCGTCAAAAAAATGACAAAAACAACCTTTGCCGTAAGCGGATGTAGCGCCTTCTCAGGTGCCGATCGATCATATCTACAAGGCTACAACAACTAGATGACATGTGTTGGTTACTTGGTTTATTGGAAATTCATTTTTGTTTGCTTCTTATCCAGTTTTATCTTATTATACTATTTGATTTTGAAAATGCGAACCAAATTTGGTCCAGTCAGAAATTGTTTTATCAAGCAATATATCACTGTTGAGTTTCGTGGAATTGCAGTGGAAAATAAAATAATGGAGCCAAAATTCGAGACCAGGTACGGTTGAGTTTGTTTTTTTCATGAAATTGCTCTTGAAATTGTCTTTTCATGCAATATATCACGGTCTAGTTTGATTTTGTTCATTAGAACTTTTCCGTATCAACAAGAGAAAAGAAGGTTCCAAAGTTCGCGACCAACCTTCATGTTGGCATGACATGAAAAACGACCATAAGGATGACTAAGAGCCGTTGGATTACCAAGAAAGTTGGGATCATGTGCTAGCGGCGACTTTTTCCCATAGAGTTCATACACGCTAGGGGTAGAACTAAACGCTTTACATACACGCTAGGGGTAGAACTAAAACGCTTTTTTGAAGAAAAAAAAAACAAGTGTCGTTAGATTGAAGATCATATAATAATAACTAGATAATAATCCGCACTATACGCGAAGTGGGGTTTTTAAAAAGTATGTTATATTTAAGTACATATTTTTTTATCAATAATTTTTTTTACGTTTGATTAAAGATGGACATTTGGGTAATTTTTGGTTCGATTATATTCTGTTTGGTTTAGATTTTTGCGGGTTTGATTCATATCTTTGCAAGTTCAGTTTGGGTTTTGATTCGGATAACCCATTTTTTTTTTTTAAAGGATAAAATTTCATATATACTTTAAATTTTACAAAATCTAAAATAAAAATAATATATAATATATAAATTTAAAAATGAATGCAAAAATACTTAAAATTAACATAAATTGGTTTATCTTAAATATTTGGACAAAATTAATAATTATTTCAAGTATGTTTTGGTATTTGGAATATCGTTTAGCTATTTTAAAAAATGCACATTTAACTATTTTATATATTTTTAAGTATTTTGGAAAATTTTAAAACATCTCATGTATTTTGTATATGCTTAGATGTTAATTAATTAATATATTTAAGTATATAAATTTTGTTCGATTACACTCGAATATCTGAAATATTTTGATTTAGTTTCGGTTCTATAGATACCCAAATT